AATCTTCTATAGTTGTGTTATTCAAGTTTTAATAAAATCTTGTATTTTTATATTTACTAATTTGATTTTCTTCAATTTGATTTTTGATAAAAAAAATAATTATTCTTTAAGACCCAATGAATATCATCATTAATGTACAAAACTTAAAAAGTTCTTAATGGATCTCAAAACTTAAACAAATATTAAAATTAATAATAAAGTAATGCTAATGAGATAATAATGCTCTCAGGTCATGAAGCCCGGGCCTCTACTTGTTGATTGTTTTTGTCCCATGTTATCTCACAAGAAAGCTTTGATCATGTAGTTAAGTAATCTGATATAGGGTGATTAATTTGGAAAAAAAAAATGAAATGTGAGATTGAAATCTAGTTTTTTAAGTACAAGACAATTTTGTGAGGAGAAGAAATATTTTATTTCATTTTGTTAAATGGTTTTACAATAGATTTCATATAAATATATATGTATTAGTAATACTGAAATCTCGAGAGTGCAACACTGTATCATGACTTCATCTCTTCTATGGTTGCGCTTCCACTGGACAAAGAAGGATATAAATCATCAATTAGTTACTTTAATGTTGTAACCTTTTATTACTATAATACAAATAATTATATTTTCACATAATTAGGATTTATAATATCTTGAGTTTGAATAATATTTGATGGCTATATATTACATATTATGTTTCTCTAAATATTACCATTATATGGGGAAAAAACACTTTCTATTCTTTGACATTTTGAAAATTATTCCGCTTTTTTCTTAATTACAATTCAAAATATCTTCGTTTTTTCAAAATGATTGCGCTATACATTACAGAATATAACTAGGAAAAAATTAATCACAATATTATTAATATATTAAAAATATTTTTATGATAATACCACATTAATTATATTCACGTCTTTCCGCTATTCAATCATTTGGTCATTCCATCTTACATGTTAGTCAAATTTGTTTTCTTTTTAAAATATATTTTGGATTAAAAAAGGGAGAGTAATATATTTTTAGTGTTGAGGAAAAAAGAATCGTAAAAATCGAAAAACAAAACATCTTATATGATAATATACACTTACCTATTGGTGGTTTTCAGATGATGACATAGGCGCTCACAACGCTCGGCGCACGCCCCAGTGCGGTCGTAACCACATTGTTTGCGAATGCAATCTTCAAAACATTCAGGGATACCTATATAACCACCACCGTTGGTTTCATCGATTGCCATTACCAATGCCACCACAAAGACTATCATAACCATTGAATTCCATTTTGCACCCATAATTTTTTTTTTTTTTTGGTGAAGCTTTTTTGTTTGTTTGTATGATGTCAAAAGAAAAAGAAGTTTTGTGTTTAAGAGATAAAGAAAAGCTAATCCTCTATTTATACTAATTTTCAACAAAATTAGTTGTTTATTCTTTTTACCCTTATCCCTTTTTCAGTATAGAAATTAATTAGTTTTTCTTTTTTAATTTGACTAGTTTATTTGCATAATCAACATAAAACTTTAATATATATAAGATTATAGTATATCTTTTCATTATTTTCTTTACTAAATTAGATGTTTATTCTTCTTATCCTTATCATTGTTTTCTTCATGACATAGAAATCAATTAATCTTTTCTTTTTCATCTTTGACTATTTGTATTATAAGGAGTTTTTCTCATAGTCAATTGAAAACTTTATTATAATAGGATAAAAATAAGTCATTTACATTAAAAATCTTTTAAACTAAAATATATATGCTATCATTTCTTTAGGAAAAAGATATCAAAATTATAAATTTATGATACATATCCTCTATATATTAATTGAAGATACACTAAAGAGAAACTCCTATGTGTTACTCAATGAGCAATTCAAGGGACATCTCATTTAAATTAACTAATTAGAATATTTTATTTAAAACTATATGCTTTGGTGGAAATCCAACTAAATGTAACATTTTAGACTTACCATATCATCTATTTTTTTTATATACATTAACAAGTTTCATTATCATATTTATAACAATATTATCTATTGTGTATATATGTATTTAGATTAGTACACTATACAAATAACTTTATTATGATATTTAATCACATTTACATATATATTTCATTTTATTTTGAGAAATTTCAAAAAATGCCACATGCTCCATGCCACTTTGCAAAAATGCCACGTTTTTAAAAGTTTTACAAGAATGTCACTCTCCTTTTTCAGTATTCCCATATTGTCATTTGACTCATTTAATTTGATTTTTTCAAAAAAAAAAATTATGTCCATTTTTTTTTTCAGATTTCAGTTTTTTTTAATCCTTTTTTTTCAGATGTCAAAATTTTTTTCTCAGATCTCGTTTTTCTCTTTTTTTAACTAAATCTCATCTGTTTATCTCAAAACTAGATTAAAAATATGAAATTGAATTTCATAAAAAAAAGCTTAAGATCTAAGATTGAATTTTGTGGATTGAGAAGAAAAAAGAGGACAAGAGAAAAAAAAAGATTTGAGATTTGAATTTAGTGGATTTG